ATAGATAGATAGATAGATAGATAGATAGATCTTTATTGTCATTGTTGCACTGAAAAGAACACTGCGGTCCACAACGAAATAATAAGAGGTAAAAAAAAACTAATTAAAAAGTAAGATAAAATAAGATAAAAATGTAAACAACAACAAATATCATTTTATGGTGAGAAATGATGGCTTTGAATCCATTTTTGTCAAACCCTAAAATTAATCAGAGTGTTGTGTTGATGCTTTGACCTTAATCATTGCTGGTTGAAAACCCAGTATCTGCTGTGAAAACTTCTCAGCTGCATCCAATTTTAGTTCAATATGTGTAAAACTGACTAAAATATGACCATTGATAAATTTCAGTTAGCTGTAGCAGCCACTTTGAATCGTATTGATCCTTTTAAAAAGAACATTCAASGATTACTTTCTGTGAGTCTCATTAAAACTTGTCCAGTGGTTRATGAGATATTTTGCTAACAGATAACTCGGTTAACATTGAAGCTTTAAGTAATTATCTAATTCAAAGTCACTTAGCATAAATGCTGGATGACTCTCAGCTACAACCACAAATGTTTAACTCAAAATATACAGTATAAGCTGCAATTTATGTGTTTTCTGGCTTCACACCTTTTTTTTAACAAGTCAGCCTCTTTAATCCTGACTGTGGTCTTTTGTCCCACCTGATTAGAAAAAAGAAAACACACCGTCTACAAAGTCACAGGTGGRGAGTGACTCGTCCAGAATTCAACAAGTGCCATGGAGGAAGAGGGCAACAGGAACTGATTTTGACCACTGCCTGCTCTTGTGTTTTTGCAGGTTTTACCAGGATCAGCTGGACTCAGGTGGAGTCTTAATGTCATGCTCTCATAGGGGCTGTGAGAAAAATCTCCACAGTGATGTCACTGCAAGTTCACTGGCTGCCTCTTAGATCTGAACCATGTGCAGTGAACATCAATTAAATTCCTCTCAGGTTTGAAAAGGTTTCATTTTAAAGACATGGAAAGAAAATGAGAGCACAGGTAACTTCAATACACACCAGTGAGGATCTGAATCATTTCTACTGACACTGGAAACACTGGAGCCAGGGTTAGTACCAAGATCTCAATTAAAAAAAAATAATGATAAAACTTAACATTGGTGTGGTGCAATTATTCATAGCAGTGGGCACAGCTAACCAAAAAGATAGCTTCACTTACTCATAATCACTAACAAAAAATATAGCTTCACTAACGCTAAACAAGTAAAAATTAGCAGAAGCTAATGCTAACAYCTAATTGCTAACTGCTGTGTCACATGTCATCATGGCCTTTGAGCTGTAGACTGGTGGAACTGACACAAACCTGTTAGTTAGCTGTTAGCTGTTGGCATAACTTAACTGGGCCAGTAACAGTTTTCAAACTAATCTGCTATATTAAAAAAATTGTTCCGCTATTCGCTGGTTAGTGGAACCATTCCCAACACTGATTATTCATGAAATGCAAATGAACTTTCACCAGCAACGAGTTCTGAAGAACAAACTTAATGAATCAAAAAATAAAAAGACAAATCATTGGCTTACTATTTAATACAATGCCTTATTAAAAGCTTTTTCAATTATTAAGATGTTTTCCCCCATCGAATACTTTAAAGAACCCTCAATGAAAATCTGAATACCATTTGATTAAAAGAAAAGAAAAATAAAAAGACACTACACATAAAAGCAGAATAACTGTTGCTGTGATATTATTAATAAGAGTTTGATAGGTCTRGTTTGATGTTCTCTGTTGCTCATTWAAAGTCAAAATCAAAGAATGCTGAATAATTCAACACCCCTTCCTTTGCTTTAAAGTTGGTGTCTGACTGTCATGAGAAGTCTGAACTAAACAGACTCAGATGTTTTAAGCAAAATATTACTAACCCTAAATATGAAGTGATAGAAACTCACTATGRTAAATGTAATAGATTAAGTCTGTTCAAAATAATAATTTGGAGGCCAGATAAAATGTTAAGATGGGCCAGAACTGGACTGTGAGCTTAAAATTTAACATGTGTGCTAAAMAATAAGATAAATGTTTGTTGTCAGAAAACTGTGTTTTTGGTTAAAAATCTCTATTTTTGCATGTGAGAGAAAAACTTAACATTATGTGTTATATTTTATTTTCCCTTATTAAAGACACGGTTTGGTGTTTTTTTTATTAGAACTGAAAATTTAGAATCATTCAATAATTCTTATCATATTTAAAATGAGTTCAATTCAATTCAATTCAAAAATACTTTATTGATCCCAGAGGGAAATTAGGTGTTGTTGTAACTCATTTAACTAAAGAATTATTGTAGARGCTGATGGCTGTGGGCAGGAAAGGTCTTTTGTAGCGGTCTGTATTACAYCAATCCTWCAGCATAGTTACCTTGTWTTARACAATTTGTTAAATACWTTAGAAAGCAGGGATTTTTCAAGARGTCTTCAGCTGAGAGAAGTTGCAGGTTTGCATGATACCACATTAGGTAAAGTCCTGAAARAGTCCAGCACTTTCAGGACCTTGGACAGTTCCTTCATGACACTGTTTATGAGCAGTGTTTCCCAAAGTGGCATGGTGTCGGGACCCACAATAGGGTCCCAAAATATCAAGGTGGGGTCCTGAAATATTTTCTAAATTAACTATTAGAAAATAACAACTAACAACATTTTTTTTGCCTTTGTTGCTACAAAAGAGTAAAGTTAGTGTACCTAAAATGGGCAAAAATAGCATAATGAAGACAATTATTATGCTCTCACTTTTTTATGTGAGAACAATGTTTATGATCCAACAGCAGGGGCTCAGGTCTCTGCTGCTGGTATTTTGAGGGTCGAAGGCTGAAAAGTTTTGGAACCACTGGGTCTAAATTAGTGATTCCCAACCAGGGGTACGCAAGCATGTTACAGGGAGTACGTGGAAAAATTTCCCAGGTTTGTAAAWATAAAATAAAATAAAAATAGGACTGAGATATGTAGGACCCTATATTCTGCAGTGGAACAGCTACAATAAACACAATTAAGGTCGGAGACAGAAAAAGAGTTGTGGAGGTGATGAACAGAACAGGCCCACACACAGGCCTGAGCTCGACATGCTCAAATGTGGGTTAAGATGATTGTTGGATTGGAATAAAAAACATCCACTGAAGATCTGCGGTAAAACCAGAAATCTGCTGACTGAACAAGTCAGCCACAAAGTTAAAATCAACACACCTTTCAGCAAATGGAAATAGTAAATAGTGCTGAGTTGACTCCCTTTGTGACAAACTTAATAAATAAATAAACATCTTATGAAGCTGGATGCTGTTAATGGTTTGTAAATAGGTTTATCACCAAATCTTTAAAATTATGATTTAGAAACCGTCTAACACAGTGGTTCCCAAACTTTTCAGCTTTTGACCCACAAAATACCAGCAGCAGAGACCTGTGACCCCAGCTGTTGTCGGTTGATAAACATTATTTTCACGTCAAATAAACAAGAGCACAGTAACATTATTTATTACGCTATTTTTGTCCATTTTAAGTAAACTAGTCTTGTTATTTTGTTACAACAAAGGCAAAAAAATGTTCTTAGTTGTCATTTTTTTGTGTAATTATTTCAAAATATAWTTTCAGGACCCCACCTTGATGTTTCAAGACCCCAATGAGGGTCCCGACCCCAACTTTGGGAACCACTGGTCTAACAAACACGTAACAGAGCTGAACCTGCACT